AGAGCACACACACTCCAGGCTAGGGGTAGAGCACACACACTCCAGGCTAGGTGTAGAGCACACACACTCCAGGCTAGGGGTAGAGCACACACACTCCAGGCTAGGGGTAGAGCACACACACTCCAGGCTAGGTGTAGAGCACACACACTCCAGGCTAGGGGTAGAGCACACACACTCCAGGCTAGGTGTAGCTCGGGGTTTCGCCCTTCCCCCACCAGCCTCCTCCTGCTGTGGAGCTTCAGCTGCAGACTGGGGTCTAAGAGAGGCCGCAAACCCGACCCAGGGCAGAGCCAGGCGGGAACTGTGCCATCATCCCATTGCGCCCAGACTACTAAAGCCAGGAGAGAGAAGTGGGGGAGGGGGGCCAGGGACACCTGTCCCCAAGTTCCAGGGAGGGGGGTGTGGAGGTGGAGCATGAGGGAGGCAATGGCTTGGTTCCCAGAGCCAACCCTGCCCAGGCTGGAAGTTTGGGGACGTCTGGGTCCTGCTCTTCCCTGGGTGCACATTTACCCATTTTCTGGAGGGTCTGAGCAGGGCTCTCTGCCACACCACCAAGGCGGCAGGTACTGACCACCCGCTCAGACCAACTCCCCTAATCGCAGTCTCCTGCTTCCCTCCCCTCCTCTATATTTATCCACCCTCCGCCTCCGCCAGGTGCTGGCGCCGGCCCCGCGGCGCAGCCCGCCCCACCCGGGCACCAAGCCACCGGGCCTGCTGGGGACCCCTGAGCGGGGGATGGGAGCCTGACCCGGGCCACAGCACACGCGAGTCTGGTCGCTGGTGTGCAGAGGCATGGAGGGAAAGACGTCAGAGGATGGAGGTCTCCCACACCAAACGTGCCTCAGTTTCCCCACGGAGATACTCGACAAAATCTAGCAAACAAGTGCCCCTCACCATTCTCTCAGGGATTTCCCAGGAGCCTCACCGGGGAAGGCCGAGAGTTCTGTCCTGAGTGGCAGGGTAATGACGAGGAGTCCTCAAAGAGCCATGGCCCCCAGCTCCCTTTCAGTGGGGTCCCCGCCACGGACCCCAATCCTAGGACGTCTTCTTCTACTTGCCCAGGTCTCTGAGGCGGGAGCTCCCGCATCTGGCCCCAGCGCTCCCGAACTGGGAACGGAGGGGACCCAGGCGTTCGAGCCGCCCAGCCGGCCTCGCCACATTCCTCGGCGCTGGCGGAGGCGGAAGGAGACGGGATGGGACGCGGGCCGGCGGGGAAGGGAGAGGCAGGTCCAGGTCGGGCCACGCACAACGCCTCCCCTGCCTCAGGGCCCCAGCAGGTGGACAGCGCCCAGCGTGCGGCGCGAGGCCCACAGGCGCATCCCGAGGAGGGCTGCTCCTTGAGTCCCGGGGGCTCTGGCCCCGAGGCGCAAACCTCACCCACGGCCCCAGTTCGCCGAGCGCGCAGCGTTTAGCTGGAGCCGGATCGGGCGTGAGGGCCGGTTGCAGTGAGAAGAACTGAGACAAGCCTCCAACCCCCCAGGACTTACTCTCCCGCCGCCCGCTGGACTCGGGGTTTGTAGCTCAAAGGTCTCCTCGTCCTCGTCCTCGTCCCCGTCCCCACTAAGCTCGCCGTCCCCGTAGTCCCGGTGCAGAAGAGTGAAGCCTCGACGGCAGCAGAGGAGCCACCACAAGCCCCCAGGGAGAGGCATCCGGGCGAGGAACCGGGAATTGGGGGCGCGGGCAGCCGCGGCGGAGCAGCAGGGGGTCGGAGAAACTGTCTGGGCTCCGGCCAGAGCAGGGGAAAGATGAGGAGAGAGGAGAAGGAGGGTGAGGGGGACGGGGAGGAGGCAGTGTCCGGTGCTGGGGGCAGGGGGCGTTAGCTGGAGCCTGCGGGGGTCTCGGTGTCTGGGCCCCCGCAGGGGGAGGGGGAAGGCGCCCAGGGCCCGGGGGAGGAGGGAGCAATGTCCGGAGCTGGAAAGTAGTGTCCGTTGTGGTGTCCAGCCCTGCGGGGGGCAGCGTCCGGTGCAGTGTCCGAGGTGGGCAGTTGTCCAAGCTCCAGGGAGGGTCGTGTCCGGTAGGGCGTCCGGTGGCCGGGGCCCGGGCCGCGCGCGCTGCGCTCCCTGCAGCCCCGGGACTGGCGCGCTGGGGGCGCGAGCACAGCGCCCGGACCCCGCCTCCCGAGCCCCCCAACCCCCTCTCCCCGTCCCTCTTCTTTCTCTCCTCCCTTCTTTACCGGGCAGGGTCCAGGTTTCGTCACAGCCTCCTCCGCCCAATCCCTGTGCCTGGCGCCGGGCGCAGCCACCAATCAAACGGCCGAAACCGCGGCGGGTTGCATCATGTGCCGCTGGCTCGGTGACAGCGGGGAGGGGCGGGGGAAGAGGGAGGGAAGGGGCGGTACGACGTTAGCCGCGCCCCCGTCTCGGAGGTCGGACGCGGGGTGCTGGCGACGTCACGGAGCCCGCCTCCAAGCTCGCGTTTTAACTCTTGGCAAACCAGACAGATTCAAAGCCCTTTTGAGCAGCTTTGGAGAACGAGAGTCGCAGGACACATGGCCCGGCCGCTGCCCTCTGGGTTCCCCGGCTCCTCCCGGGTTCCTGAGAAAGGCCCCTGGCCACCGAGAGGGCGCTCAGGCCCGCGCCGGACACGGCTCTGGAGGGGCCTCCTACCGGGACTTACGGAGTTCAGTCCCTCAGTGTGAGTCACCTCCGTCCTGAGGTGAAGTTTGAGGCCAGGACCCCGGGAAGACGCAGACGCAGGCCGGACATAAAAAATCTAGAGAGCGCGGCCCACCAGACGCAGGCGGGGAAAGTGACTCGAGATTCTAGGGACTTCTGTGACCTCCGAATAAAGTGGAGGCCTCTGGGGCGACAACTCTGCGGTGCTGCGTAAGAAGGGGTTAACCCAGGGACCAGGCGGCCGGGGCGGGGCCGGGGCGACAGCGGGCGCGCGCTGCTGACTCAGCGGCAAGTCCCGCGGTCTCTGGTGGTGGGTCCAGGTCGGCCCCCAGGGGCTGGCGTGCGGGACCCTTCGAGGGTCCGCGCCGTCTCCGGGTCTTCCCTGGATCCTGGCCCCCTAGAGGTCGTGGCTCTTGGTCTCTTGCCGCAGGAGGCTCTGGGAAGGACTGCCAGCCTGGGCTGGGCTGGGCAGGGCAGGGCAGGCGGGGACATCAGGCTAGCGCCTCCCTTGAGACCTCCTCGTCACGCCCCACGCTTCTCTCCTTTACACTCCAGGCTGGAGCGGTGGGGAAAGCTTTGCTGACCGGATATTAAACTGCGAGAATTGTCGCACGTGAACACCGTCCTGCCTGTTGTGATTGTGTCAAACAAAGACCAGGAATCGGTGTGACCATCTCCACAGGCCATCCGGGCAGTGCTCTCTCCCAGATGAGAGTGGTCTGTACTGAGATTTCCGAGGAATGGAGACGCCACTACCACATGCTCTCTTCCCTGTCTGGATCCCTAGCCTTGGCCTGCAGGGAAGTTCTTTCTGACGTCTACCCTCATTCTCTCCGGCAACCTCAGTGCATTTCCTCTGACCCAGTCCCCAGGGAAGATGGAGAACAGCAAGCATCCCCATCCCCACCACGCCTATGATAACTACTCTTCAGAAATTTGCAAGTTGCAATTCCCTCCTTAGTTTTTCTCCAAGGTGGAAAACTCCAACTCATCTTTCTAATAAATCACTTTTTTCTTTTTTTCTTTCCATCACAGAACCTTAGAAGGAATTGTAAAATGGTAATCTAATTCAAACGGCCACCCCAAGCAGAATCTCCTTCCCCCTACCCTAACCCCCGCACCACGCACAGACACACCACCTCCCATGGCTTGAACATACCAGAAGCTGGGAACTCGGCACTTGTTAAGGCAGCCATTACTGGATGGGGCTCTGGTTGTTAGAAAGCTCTTCCTCACGCTATTTCAGGAGGAACCACCGCCCCTCCTAGCCCGGCAGCTTTCTCACCTCACCTTGTTGTCGCACACTAGGTGAAGGTGGAGGGAATGTCGGTGTCCAGAGCTCTGGCAGACTCAGCCGTTGCCCCCGCCGCCCCCACCCCCAAGCTCTCAGTGCCTTCCACTCAGAGCCAAGCCTGGGGTGGGAGTGGGGGGTTAACCCACCCGCTGTGCCCTGCTGCAAATCACTTCCAGGTGGGTGACCCAAAAACAGTAACAGTTGTTGGGCTGCATCTTATTTCCATGTTACCGATTTAATGCGGCAGGGCGCAGAAGCGACCCCTTTAGGTCCACACTGCTTTCTCAGCATTCTCTCGCCTATTCCCCTTCCCCACTGCCCTCCCTTCAATCGCCCCCTCCTCCAGATTCACAGCCCTAGTGGTCCCGGGAGAGACTGTGGTTCTCAGTGGGAGCCGAGCAGGAAGAAAGGCGGGGCCGGCGGGGACAGCGGCCGCGGGGGTGAGGCCCTGGGCTGCAGCCCCCACCCCGCAGCAGTCTCCGCAGGTCCTGGCGGAAGCGCAGGCCCAGAAAGGCGTAGAGCACGGGATTGAGGCCGCAGCGGGCGAGGGCCAAGCCGCCGGTCACCAGCAGGGCCAGATCCTTGCGCTTGCTGGCAAGGCAGCTCCGCTCGCGGGCGGCCAGCAGATCGGCGGTATCCAGCAGCAGGGCGAGACTGTAGGGCAGCTGCAGCACCACGAAGGCCGCCACCAGGGCCACCACGACGCGCAGCGCGCGCCGGCGCTCGGGCCCCCTGGCGGCCAGCAGCGTGCGGCCCAGGAGCGCGTAGCAGGCTGCCATGACGCCCAGCGGCAGCGCGAAGCCCAGGATCACCTGCGCCACAGCGCTCGCCCCCTTCACCGACTGCGTGAGGCCCTCGGGGAAGATGAGGCGACAGCGCCGCTGGCCTTCCCGCTGCCCGTCCCGGCTGAAGAGGAGCGCCGGCAGTGCCAGGAGCAGTGACAGCAGCCACACGATGACTGAGACCAAGTGCGCGCGGCCGGGCGTGGAGGGCCTCGGCCCGGCTGGGAGCGCCCGCACGATGGCCACGTAGCGGTCGGCGCTGATACAGGCCAGGAAGAGAAAGCCGGCATGGAAGGAGGCTGAGTAGAGGCCCGAGATGGCGCGGCAGGTGAAACTTCCTAGACTCCAGCCCTGAAGAGCCCCTGCTGCGGCAAAGGGCAGGGTCAGGGCCAGCAGGAGGTCGGCCACGGCCAGCTGGAGCAGGTGGATGGAGGTGGGGGAGCGAGCAGAGCGTCGGGCCGCCAGGTGGGTGGCCAGGACCAAGCCATTGCCAGCCATACCCAGCGCAGCCACCGTGAGAGAGACGCTGGGTTGGAAGGCCCGACTGAAAGCCTGGACATCTGTCTTGTAGCAGAGCTCTGGCAATGGCTCAGCCGAGTATGTCTCCTCATCATCCCCCGAGTAGGGGCCCCAGGAAATCTGGGGAGGTCAAAATGAGAAGAGGGACCTTATGAGACACCTGCCCACGCACCTCCCTCTCCCACACACCCCTAAGCTGGGAGCTCCTCTGTGACCAGACAGTACATGGGGAGAAGACTTAAATTCTTCTCCAGACTCTTCCTAGAACACCCTCAACAGGCCTTGGCTTCCCTTGAACCCCTCCGGCCTCTGCTTCCAGCTTCCTGGGTGACGCGAGCCACTTGCTGTTTCTGGACCTCAGTTGCCTAATATGTAACTGTCACGATTAGAAGTCCTGACCAGCCCACCTGCCAAGGTTTGCTGTGAGGATTGTTTGAGATATGGAAGAAAATGAATGTGAAGCATCTGTGCTCTCCGTAGGCCAAGCATTGGTGTTATGAGTAAATCTTGGCGCTCCAGTCCCTTTGCAGTGCCCCCTCTTAGAAGGACGCACAGATTCAAAGCCTGCCTCGGACCGGGACTCTGGGCTCCAAGCTTGGTCTGACGTGGGTGGGTTTCTGTTTGTCTCCTTTCCCTTCTCCCCTCCTCACCCTACGACTTCCATAGTACAAATCCCCTGAACCACTCATGTCACAGGGCTGTCAAGGGTTGGGGCTCAGGTTTTCTGGGATCGGTTGGGACCTTGCGGTCTCCAGGTCCATCCTGCCCTTCCCCTCAGCCCCTGTCCCTGTCCCATGATCCCAGCCTCACAGCCCAGCCTCATCTATCTGGAGGGCCCCTGATCTGAGATAGCTTCAGGCACACTGCCTAGGTCATAGGATGGCAGAAGCCTGTCGCCAGGTGAGGAATCCCGTCCCTTCCTCTTCCCCTCCCTCTCTTTAAGCCTCCACCCCCTCCCTGCCCCCACTCCCACCTGCTCTGTGGGCTCGGTCCCCATCTCTGGCCACACGGGTTTCTGAGGTATAGCCGCTGCAGGGGGTAGAAGTTAAAACAACTAGTGGGACAGGAAGGAAGGGGCGGGGAGAGGGGCCAGGCAGGAGGTGGGGATTAGGGTCTGTGGGCTCATTTTCCCATCCCCTCCCCCAAAGAATTTCTCTCCACCCTGCCAGTGGAAAAAGAGTGAGTTTTGGAACATCCTCATTTGCTATCCTATGTGATCTTGAGTAAGTTTTTTTGACCTCTCTGAGCCTCATGTATTTCATCTGAAAAGTGGAGTAAGGTAAAAATTCTGAATTCACAGTGTTAAGAGAGTGCCCAGCGCCACTGCTGGAGTGTAATTTGCCTCCGGAAAATGTCAGATTCCTTTACTTACCCTTTATTCCATCTCTGCCCCCCGCCCCCCCCCCTTCTTGGGGTTTGCAGGATCCTTCGGCCCCCGCCTCCTCCCTTGTGTCATCCTTGCGCCCCCAGTCCCTGCCGGCCTCAGGTTACCGGGGTATTTCCCGGCGGCTGCAGGCTCCCTACCCCCGCCCTCTCGCAGCGGGGCTGAGCCGCGCGCTTGCGCGGGGTCCGGGAAAACGGCGCGTGCCAGGAGGGAGAGGCTGGGGAAGGGGGGAGGTGAGAGGAGAGAGGGTGGGAAGGAGAAGAGAGCGAGACAGAAGAGCGGAGAACCGGGAACGACAGGGAGAGGAAGCAGAGAGGCAGGGGCGGGTAAGGAGGGAAGACAGCGGCCGCGGCGAACCCCGGGAGGAGAGCTGGGACCCCGAGCGCCGGAACTGGAGCCCGAGCCAAGAGTCGGGCACCGGGGACCGTCAGCCCTGCACGATGCCCCTCCGGCTCTTCTGCATTCTGTTCACCGCGTTCTCAGGAGCCCGGGGCTGGGGCTACTGTGAGTGCTGGGTCTGGAAGCAGGCGGGATTGGGTCCAGGAGTGCGGAACCTGCAGGGCGGGTCCCGCACCGCATTGCGGCTGGGTGGTCGCGGGTCCTTCTCGCTGGCGCGTGCTCGCTTGCTCCCATCTTTTCCTGCCTCTCCTCCGCTCTCCGCAATGCGGCTTCGAGGCTGTCGCGCGCGCCCCGGGCTGGGGCTGGGCTCCGAGCTGAGGATGGAGTCGGCCGGAACAGAAATTTAGGGCTGGGATCCAAGCAGGAGCTGGTGCCCTATTTGAGGCTAGGCTTGGATTGTGGTACTGGTGACTGAAGCTAGAGTTAGGGTTTTGCCAGAGGCTGGGGCTGGACTTTGGAGTTAGCCCAGGGGCTAGGGTTTGTGTCTGGGGCTGGGTTTTGTGGCTGGGATCCAAGCAGGAGCTGGTGTTCCTGACTGATGCTAAGGCTGGGCATGGAACTGGTGATGGTGCTAGGACTGGCTGAGGTTGGCAGCGAGGCTTGGATTTGAGATTGGTGCAGATTTGGGGGTCTGATGAATGGGACTGAGGCTAAGGCTGGAGCTAAATTGGTGTCTTGGGGCTGACTCGGAATCTGGAAGATACTGAGGTTTGTGACTGTGTTTGGGCGAGTTCTAAACTAGGGAGGGTCTGGCGTTGGGCCTATAGGCCTAGCCTAGGAGTTCTAGAAGGAGAAAGCAGCCTCCCCTTAGCTGCAGCTGTTGCTGCAGCCCGGGTTGAATAGATGGCTTTAGGATGGAGCTGGGGTTGGGCCGGCCCGTGGCTCCCTCGGTAGAGTGCGGTGCTGATAACACCAAGGCCACGGGTTCAGATCCTATATAGGGATGGCCGATTTGCTCACTGGCTGAGCGTGGTGCTGACAACACCAAGCCAAGGGTTGAGATCCCCTTACCGGTCATCTTTAAAAAAAAAAAAAAAAAGGATGGAGCTGGGTCTGCCGCTGGGGGGCAGAAAAGAAGGCACTTAGGTTGCTCAGTGGACCGGGCCTTGGAAAGAGCCTGAGGGGGGCCGGCACTTACTAACATGACCGTTTCGCCACCCCAGACGGCTGCGACGAGGAGCTGGTGGGGCCCCTGTATTCACGCTCCCTGGGCGCCTCGTCCTACTACGGGATCTTCACCGCGCCGCGCTTCGCCCGGCTGCACGGTGAGCGCGGCTGCGCACCGGGGTGGGGTGGAGGACTACCGAAGACTGGGGGGAGAGGTTTAGCCGGTGGTAAAGCCCTTGCCCCTTCTATAGGCATAAGTGGATGGTCACCCCGGATTGGGGACCCGAATCCCTGGCTCCAGATAGACTTAATGAAGAAGCACCGGATCCGGGCCGTGGCCACGCAGGGCTCTTTTAATTCTTGGGACTGGGTCACACGTTACATGCTGCTCTACGGCGACCGCGTGGACAGCTGGACGCCATTCTACCAGCGAGGGCACAACGCGGTACTCCGGGCGCCCCGGCGCGCACAAAGGGCGCCTCCTCTGCTCCAGGCCCTGGGCTGGGCACTGGCCTGGGGGGGAAGGGAGGTGGCGGTGGCGAGGGCACA